GCCCCTAAAGCTTCTCTTCCTTTTTTTCCCTCCCCCCCCCCCCCACAGAAAACAATCTAGAAAGTGGTTTCCTGGGAAAATATTTTAAGGAATATTGCAACCCACAGCACCCACTCTAGACAAGATTTATGGCAGGCTTTCCCCTTCTGTAATGGGAAGTTGTGGGGAAACCCTTTCTGCTCTGTTCCCTTCTCCATGCTTCAGAACAGGCCTCTTGGATCTGTTTGGGGGTGTCTGCAGCCTTCTCCAGCCTGGGTTCCAGTGAACTGAGAAAGAACTGAGGGTGCCAGTGGAGGTTGAGGCTCTGGAGAGGGCATTCTCTGGGAGAAGTCTGGGTGGGGGTGGTAGCCAGGCTGGCCCCCCAGAAAAGCAGGGAGGTAGAAGAAGCCGGGAGTGGCTCCGGGCCAGTTCGTGGGAGCTGTCCATGCATCCAAAAAGACACAGTATGATTCTTTGTGACTGAGAAACAGAAATGCTCCGGCTGAAAGGGAACTCCTTTCTGAGCGCCCCCCACCCCTACCCTGAAAAAGGTGGTTTCTCTAGCAGTGTAGAGGGAGAGAATGGAGTTTGGAGGCCTGGCTTTCAGTCAAGGAACAGAGGCCAGAAGGTGAGACAGGTGGTCACTGAGGTGGGGGTAATATGCAAAGCTCCACTACAGGAGCCTCTATCAACGATGCTAGCTGGACCTCCGGGAGGGTGCTGCTCTGCCCACATCTTTTCAGGAGGGCTGTTTCCGGGTTCCTGGGTCAGCCCAGCACCCACACCCTGTATGTCTTTAGCTGCTGAGGAAGGAGAGGCTGGATGTGACAGCCATAGAGAGCACCACAGCCCTGCTGACCACGTGGACATGAAGGTGATGTGGAGGTCCTGGGTGCAGGAAGCTGGGTCCATCTGAGCCAGTCGGACTGGCTTCCAGACTCCAGACAATAGGAAGATCATTTTAATCAAAGCTTGAGCCTGAGGGAGGGGGAAGGAAGGGAGGGAATGGGGAAAGGGCACTCTGGACTTGGCCTGGGTTGTGACCAGGGATGTCGTCTCTTATTTAAGTCCCAGAGGAACTCAGGAAGGGAACACAAGATCCAGGCTGAATGTCAGGTCTGGTGGCTGCATCTGCCTGGGCTGGAGCGTGGGGAGCCCTGTGGGTCTCAGGCTCCTGGCCTCTGGATAAGGGCAAGTCTGGTAGCAGGAAAACGGGCCTAGCACAAGGCTGTTGGCTGGAGTCAGGACTGCTCACTCTCTTTCCATTTAACGAGTTAACTCACTGTGTCTTAAAGTGGGGGTCACACTCCTGTGGGGTGGTTAGGGCCCTCGCACTGAGGGGTGTAACGACCAAGAGGAAACAGGAATTTGGCCCAAAGCCATCTCGGAGCCCTAGCAGCTGAGGTTGCCAGTAGCTATGTGCATGCTTGTGCACAGAAGTGCCTGCATGGGCAAGGGACCTGCCACCTGCCTTAGGCCGGCTGCTAGATGGGTGCCTGGTCCAGGTTTTAGAGGAGGGGTTTTCAGGTTGTGTGGCTCTGAAGGGCTACAGGGCACGTGTGGCTGAAGCAGGAATGGGCATTTCTGTAGATGCAGGTGTGAGGGGCCCATGAGCTTCTCTGTCCTTTGGTGAGACTCAAGTATGAAAAATGAAATCTCTGGCCCTTGGGGGAGGTGCCTAGGAGGGAAGCCTCCTCTTGAGGAGTCACCTGCCAACAGGACTCTCTTCAGGGGTTGCTCACTTTTTTTTTCCTGGTAGCTGCTTGTGTCCCTGGAGCTTGGTTTGGGACGGGGTTGGGGAGGGGGGAAGAGGCTGAAGAAGATCAGGACAAAGGGCATGGGGGCAAGAGAGACTCGGCCGGTGCTTCTCAGCACCATGGCCAGGGCCCGGCCGCGCCACCGACGCCTGCATCTCCCCGCCCCGCACTCAAGTCAGCCCCAATGCCTGCTTCCCCATAAGGCCTGTGCTGGGCCCCTGGGGCCAAGGCCAGGGGCTTGGCGTGGGACAAAGCGTGTAGATGCCAGACCTGGTCCGCTGTGCAGAGAAGAGAGTGATCTCGGCCAGGGCAGATCGGGTTCTCCCCAGTCGGGCTTGGAATCGGCCTGCTCAACAGCCTGCCACCTCAGTTGGCGGTGTCAGGCCCACACAATGCACCTGCACCAGGCGGGCTCCAACCTGGACCATTTCCTGGGCCCCCGTCTAAGCTGTGCGTGGAAGCTGGCCACCAGCCTGAGGAGAACACGGTCAGCCCTGACCCCTCAGAGCAGTCTCCTTCCCAATGCCTGCGCCCTCAAGGTCGGATTTTTCTGTAGCCTCCTTCCTGGTAGCAGTGCTCAAAGGGCCAGCTGCAAGTGAGGTGGAGGGGTCGCTCATTCTGGGAGCATCCCGCTCAGGCGGGGCCTGGGACCTTTGCTGGCTGGCTTCACCTGCTCCCCACCAAGGGACTCGGTTTCTTGGAAAGGGTAGCGGATACATGGCCCTGAGGACAGTGGCCTCTCACATCTGAACTCAGTCTAAATCGGGCTTTTAATTCTTCCTCCCAGAGCCCCTACTCGCCCTCAGCAGGCCAGTCGGGCCTCCAGCGCCGCTGCTGTGTTACCGTGAGCCTCGCTGAGGAGCCATTTTGTGCAGCATCCTGGTTAAATCACACTCCGAGGGGCTCCTTCCTCGCTCTCTTCCCCCACGCTCCCTCTCTCCCCTTCCTCTCCCGCAGGTGAGCAGTGCCTTTCCACCCCTTCCTGCCTCGGCAGCCCCACCCTTCCCACCCCGGGGTGGCCCAGAGGACTGGGGCTCTGGAGGCCACCCCCACACACACACCAAGAAGGGGAGATGGTGCGGGTTCCTGGAGCTGCTGGAGGAGGGGAAGCAAGGGGCGCCTCCCAATTATGGTAATCCTTTGGAATTAACTGTCTCAGGCCCAAATTCAGGTGGTTCCTTCCCGGAGGCTGCTGTCAGACGCTCTGTTCCTCCGCCCGTTGTGGTTCTGTCTAGTTCTTTTTCACCTTCTGGGGAAAAAGGGATGTATGTGCAAAATGGGATTTGGGGGGAGATATGGAAACACCAGGTCTGGTCTGGCAAAAGCGGTCTGGGGTGGGAATGGGATGCAGGCTGCCTTGGATTTAGGCTCAGGATGAGACAAGTGGTGGGGCGACAGGAATTGACAAAATCGAGAACTTGGCAACATGGAAATGTGTCGTGTTTTTAGGGGAAGATCAGGGAGATCAGGGATATTTAGAAAAATTGTGAAATCCTTTCCAAGCCGCCCGCTTTGGCCCTCCTGTTTGGAACACATCCTGTGGAGATTTGCCTGGCTGAGAGTGGCTCAGTGCCCCTGGATCCCAGGAAAATAGATCCGCATGGGTACCTCCGCCCCACCTCCCTGGTGCTCTGCTCAGTGGCAGCAGCCTCTGGTCGGAGAAAACCGGTGTGTTGGCTGCTGAAAGTGGAGAATCCACCTGCCTATTCCACTGCCAAATCTCTCCCTAGCTCTTGGACTCACTACCCACCCCGGGGGGTATCTGGGAGCAAATATAACACATTTTTTTTTCACATTTAATCTTTTGCCTCCCTGGGATGTCTGGCGTGGGAAGGTGAATCTCAGTGCCTAAGGTTGGAGGGTAGCCACAGCATCAAGGAGGAAAGGGATGATGGCTGGAGTGAGGGAGAAGGGCCGCCCCTGGCCATGCACCTCTGCAAGGCTACAATGGGGCCTCCAGGTCTGTGTCAGGCTTACTTGGGTGTGATTCTGGGAGGTCCTGGGTGGCAGCCCCTTACCCTGTGGAGCTACTTGCAGTGAGTAGGCCAGGCGAGTGCTGAGAGTCCTAGAAGGAGAGCCGAGTCAAGGCTTTGTGCTTTCATTTTTCAGTGGCACAGAAATGTAACCAGCATCGCAGTTCGGGCCTAGGACCTCTCCAAGGGGTCGGACACAATCGGTTGTACGTTCCCAGGCTTGCAGAGAGAGGAGGGATCCAGCAGCCTGGTACTGAGCGCCAGGGCCTGGCCCAAGTGTCGCACGACTCCGGAGCCTCTGGGTGCCAGGCACGCACCAATGGGTGGGACACCGACCCACGCGCACCAGGATATTTACCCCCTCCCTCCCTTCTCAGTCTCGGCAGGCTCAGGGGCTGGGTCGACTGTTAGCGGCAGGGCGTGGAAGAGGGAAAGGGAAGTTAAAGGTGAAATAGCGCCTAGTCTCGGCTCTCGGCCTCCCAAGCGCGTATCCCTGGCCGTTCTAGGGAGACCTTCACCACGCCCCACGAGCGCGTCCCCAAAATCTGTCACCGTAGCTCCCTAACTCTGCTGGTCCGCGGTGGCTGCCAGGCTCCCAGGGACTTGGGGGAAGGCAAAGGAGTTGGGGTGAAAGGCCAGACGGTGCGCACCCAGGCGCGCAGCCCCAGCGCTTTTGAGAGCAGAGGGGGCGCTCCCTGCGCTCGCGGAGGGGAAGCTGTGAACGCAGAGGCCATTGTAAGGCTGGGTGGTGCGGAGCGCGGGAAGGGGGCTGGGATTTGAATGAGAGCCGGTGATTGGTCAACCCCTGGACTGACGTCACTTCCCCGCGGGGCGATTAGCCTGAGAGAGGAGGGCTGGCAGTCCAGAGCGCTGGGGGCGGCCGGGGCGCCCGGGGCTGCTGACGCGCGCCGCGCGGGTGCCCTCGGTGCGCCCCGGGGCGCCGTCGGAGCGGGCAGCCGGCGCCGGTGCCCGGACGCACAGCGCGGGGAGCCGGGCAGGAACGCTCTAGGAGCGCGAAGGAGGGAGGAGTGGAGGGGACTGGGCGGGGGCTGCCTGCCTCGGCTGTTGGGAGTCAGTGTGTCTGTGTGTCTGTCGGTCCCCTTCGGCTCTCCGCGTGCGCCCGCGGCTCCGAGAGCGGCGCCCGCTCCGGTTTCCGCACCTGGTGGGCAGCGGCACGTGGGGCCAGCGGCGCGGCAGCGGCGGTGGCGAAGGGAGGCCCGTTTCTCTCTTTGGTTATCTAGCTGTATGAGTGCCACAGAGCCGTCATAAAGCTAGATAACCGAAAGTAGAAATGACTCACAACTTCTGCGTGCGAGCGCCCGTCCCGCCGGCCGCCCCGGCCCCCACCAGCCCGAGGAACCCGGAGGAGCCCAGTGCCGGCCCAGCAGACTCCAGCCCGGCGGAGCGGCCGCGCCCGGACCAGGTACCTGACTTCGGCTGTCTCCCGAGACACTTTCCGAACCGTGGAGGAGCTCGCCAGCTTTCCCCACTCCTCCTCCTCTTTCCCCGCCCCCACCCATCCCCCAGCGCCGAAGTTGGAACCCCAAAGTGGAGCGGGCCGGGGGAAGGGAGGGGGTTGGGGTTGCAGAGGGGTCGCTGGCGGGGAAGGCGCCAGCCTTCGCCTTCACCCCATAAATCAGGCTGGAACAATCCTCTCCCGGAGCTGCGGACGGGGATTTTGGGATGCAAATGTGGACGGAGAGAGACAGTGGCCGGTAGGGGGTGGGAGTAGGGGGAAGTGAAAGGGTGGGCAGGGGGGCTGCCCTGCCGCTAACAATGCGCCCTTTATCGAATTATTCGACGAGTCAGCCCCTGAGCGTCATTAGCATACGGCTTGGGGGTTGCCGGAGCCTCGCCCCTCGGTGAGGTCAAGTTCTTGATAATTTGATCACTTTTCACGGGCTCTGGCAGCTGCCTTTGTGTGCAGTTGGGGGGTCTGTGTGCAGCGTGAAGCGGAGCAGAACCGGCGAGGAGTGCGCTCAATGGCTAGGGGGCCGGGGCTGGGGGCCTCCCTCCCCGACGGGCCGGCTCTGCCCTGCATACAAACCGAGCGCTGGCGAGCCAGCGGGCGGGAAGGACGGAGCTCAACCCCGCCAACCTCTGCACTAGCCCTGGCTCGGCCATTCCCGCCTGCGCCTCCCCAACTTCCCGGAGTGGTTAGGGTGCAGGCAGGCTCCCAGCGCCTTCCCACTATTCCCCCCCCACCCCCTTGCAACATAAGATGTATTACAATGTCTAGCAAATAAAAAAGCAATTGGGGGAAATCTGCATTCCGTTCCCATGGCAACCCAATGCAGCACACCCGGCCACTCAGGTTCCCAGCCCCTCTTAGCTGGGTGTGGGGGTGTGGGGACGCACCCCTGCTCACTGCATGGGCATCAGGCTCCCACAGCACACAGTGCTGGGGTCCCTCCTGCGGTCCTCATCTGCCTCCAGGTCACATTCCTCCCCACAAGGCACCTTGACTTGTCCTGGAAGCCCTGGGAACTTCCCAGGCTCCCAGGGATGAGTGGCTGTAGACCCAGCCCTGCACCCTGCCATGCTTCAGAGAAGAAAGAAGCCAATGTGGCTTCAGACCTCCTGATAGTTTGGGGGGCTTTCTAGGAATATACGTTTGTGAGTGCTATGACATGCAGGCTGGAATGAACTTGAGCCACTGTTTAGACACAGCCCTCCATCCTATTTCTCTTTTATACAGGAGGAAACAAATCAGGAGGCCTAGAGTGATTCCTGCAGTGTCTTCCAGCTCAGAATTGAGAGCTGGGCCCAGGTCTTATTCCCATCTCTGCCCATTTCACTTCCCAGACCATCTCCATCAGGTGTTTATATGGCTTATCGTTCCCATCCTCTTACCCAGAACCTGCCCAGTCCTCTTTTAATTACAGAAATCTTTTCCCATTTTTCATCCCTCTGAGCCTTTTTGTTTTGTCTTTACTTAAAAAAAATTTTTTTAATGGGTTATATGTGTAAAAGGCAAAATTTCAGACAGTACAGAAAGGAAGTCTGTCGGCCCTTGGGAGAGGAACTGTGAGGCTGAGGTGAATGGTGGACAGAGACTTTGCACTACATCACCTTTTGAATTATGAACCACTTGAATGTGTTAGTTATTGAACATAAAATTAAAGAAGAAAACAAAAGATCAGGTAGGGAAGTTTATGTTGCCCTCCCTCTGTTCCCCTTCTCCTCCCTAGAGATAATCACCAGGTAGAAGGTTTTCACGCATCCTGTGCGATGCCCGCCTCCCATCTTTAAAGGCCAGTCTCCCCTTTTTTCCTGGCGAGAGGCAGGGAGGGGATGGCTATCTTGTTTCAGGATCCTGAAGGCCACAGGCAGCATCCCTGGGGTCAGCCCTCCCCTCTCAGCACACCTGGGAGTCTGTGCAATGATCATGACCCCATTTTGGAAGAAACCAGAGCAACCCTTCCTGCCTCTGTTCCCAGCCAGCTGGCCCTGGGTCCCGGGCTTCCATCTTCCCTTCCCACCATCCCTATCCTTTGCTATTTTGCAAGAACTAGTCTTTCTAGTAGCCTGATGACTTTGCACCTTCACAGCTGTGTCTACACAATTCAAATGAGCTTTTTGTTTGTTTTTAAACACGAGGGTCCCAAACCCTCTGGTCAGTCCTGAAATCTAGGTCAGGGGAGGAGGAGTCTGAGCAGGAGAGAAAACTGTTTTCTTTCCGCTTTTTACGAAAATTCGTTGATGCAAACCCCTGGGTCAGGGAAAGGATCATGGCGGGGTTTTGGCGGACAGAGAGCGCCTGCATCCTAATCTCCCGGACCCCACCCTACACCCACTAAGAAGTGGCCCTCGTAAAGAGGCCAACCTGCCGGATTTGGGCTTCAGGGTATGAATGCCCGGCCCTGACAGAGCCATGTTGACATCCCCTCTGGACACTGAAAGCCTGAGGCACAGAGTCAAAATCGATACCTCACCCTATCAAATCTCATCTGGCTTGCCCTGGCCTGGAGGAGCCAGCCGGGCCTTGGCCCTTCTTGGCTCTTCTCTCCATGCCCCAGGGAGGCCTTCCCCCAAGCCTCCTGTGACCAGTAGGCTCCCCAAGTTTGGGCTTCATTTTTGCCCCACGTTTCCGCTACCCACTCAAACAGGCTTTAGGGAGCCTGAGAACGTAATTAAAGATGTAGCTTGGAAGATGGGAGTGGTTGGTGTCTCAAAGGTGCTCTTTACCTAACCCCTTTCATTTGACATCTGTAACAGCGAGCTCGGTAAGGCCCGGTTTCTCGCCAAAGATCGCACGGCAAGCCACTAGTGGGGCAAGGATCAGGGTAGCCACCGTGGTGAGTGAGACATAAAGGGCTTCCTTCTCAGTAGTCCACGAACTCCCAATCGGGAGTGCCTGACGGGGCCTCTGCCCAGCGAATTAAAAGCTGGCATCGCTGGGCGCCGCCGAAAATCAGGCTGCGGCGCGGCCAGAGGCCTCATCTAGGCTGGCCAGGGAGCTCTCCACGGACGCGGGCCGACCTCCCGGGAAATGGGACCTGAGCGCGGAGGGAGCGAGGCCAGAAGGCCTCTCAGGGCCCAGCCGCGACGCTGAAAAGCATGAAGGGTCGGAATTAGGCGCTCATTTAGCGAGCGTTACTAATCCGAAGTTACAGCGCTAATTCCCTGATCCGGCCGCTCCCACACGCAGCGCTGGGATTAGAGGCGCGGCCGCCGCCCCGCCCCGCCCTCACACCCCCAAACGCTCGGGCCCCGCGCCCTCGGGTCTGCGGGCTCAGGACTAATCCGCCGCGCTCGCCCAGCCCGAACGTGCCGCGCTCGGGGCGGATCCGGCCAGCTGGGGTGTGCAGTCCTGTACGCCTCGGTCGGGGAGAGGCAGGGAGTGGTCTGCTTCGAGCCCCGGGGCAGCCCCAGCGGGATTTATGCGCCTTCCAGGTCCCAGGCGAAGCGGCGCGGTCAAGAAAACCGCCCGGATTTCTCCAACCCGGTTGTGCGCACCCAGAGCAGCGGCCCCGTAGAGGCCGCGGCGCCATTTTAATAGCCTTCAGTTCCCCCTTGCCATTTCTCTTTCTCGTGTGTGTGTGTGTGTGTGTATGTCTCGGGGTGTCTCGGTCCCCCATCCCGCCTAGACTTTAGCCCCCCTCCATCAGCCTGGGTGGAGTGACCAATCAGCTCTGGCCTAGGGTGGGATGCGCGTCGCCATGGCGACAGTCAGGGCGCCCTGGCAGTGCCGCCCATCACAGAGGGTGAGTCTTCAATCCTCCTGGACCGGAAGGTGGTGACAGGTGGGGGTTGGAGGAAGGCTGTGGCACCTCAACCTTACTCCAATCCCATTCTTCCTAGGGTCAGTTCAGCTTGAGTCAGGCAGGGGGAGAATGGATGACGTGGGCAGTGCCTTGGTAGAGACCTGAGCTTATGCTGGGAATTGCTCTTTCGGGAGTTTTCCCATTCCTCCAGGTGTTGTTCCTCTCTGTCTCTCATCTTGGTCAACCTCTTACCCTCTTCTGTGTCTCTTTTCCTCAGAGAGTGGTGTTCTGGGGCTCTCAAAGATCCCCCCCCCCTTCCAAATTGCCTCGCTCTTAGGTGGATTTTGGGCAAGTCACTTCCTCTTAGATTTAATATCATCCATAACGTGGGCTGGTGTGCAGGCTCATGATGGAACATACTGAGTGCACAGTGGGAGCTCTATCAATGTTAGACCTCCTCCTTTAGAAGGGAGGGCAAGATGACTGGGGACAAAATTCAGAACTCAGGGATGTCTTCTCTGTCTGGGGTAGCCAAGTTTGGGTGTCTCATGGCTTCCTAGAGCCAGCTTTTCATCTCTCCTCTAGACAGCTGGGAACTGGAGAGGAGGGGAAGGTTTTTCAAAATAGAGTTGGGGGTGGGGGCTGTGCCTGGAACAAAACCTTGGTCAGTGGCTCTGAGAATGGGCCGCCGCAGTTCCTATAGTGCTAGCTCCTTCCTTCCAGGCCGGTCCGGCTTAAGCACCACTTTAAGTGGTCCCGGCATTCACTGGCCAGCCCCTCACCGCAATTGAGCTGCAGGGGTTTGAAAAGAGGGCCAGGGCCTCAATGACAGGACCTTGGGCCAGGCTAATTGGTTTTGGTTCAAGGGGATACTGGATTTGTGAAAAGCTCCAAACTGCCTTTCCCACGCCAGAGCCAGGCCATGGCTTTAAGGAGACGGGCTTGAGGAGCTTGGAGCCAGGCTAAAAGGCTGGGAGTCAGGTATCTCTAGCTGATGATCGACATCCCTCTGGTTGAAGGGCAGGGAGTTATTATAAGGCATTTCATGGGTGCAGGCAGGTTCTACTAACCCTCTCTCACACACATGGCTATGCCAAGAAAAGGGCACCTTTATCTGCGTCTTTGGCACACCTTATTTGAGGAACAGCCTCAGTTTTTTCCACTGTAATCATCCAGTAAGAGAAACCAGCAATCGCTGTTTTCATTCTTGACCCCA